AAGTTAAAAAGCACCCTCTCTATAAGCTAAGCTTTTTATATAGTAGAAAGGCTTTAAATAGTAGAAAACTTAAGTACTATATACTAGAGAAAGGGGTATATAATTATTTTTTATATAACTCTACTACTAAAGCGTTATACTAAGGTCCCCTTACTATTAGTAATAAATTAGTACCTAGAAAGGTTAAGTATATAAAAATGAGGTTTTTCTAAGCTTCCGTTATATTAGAGAATAACCTTATACTAGAGGTGCCTCATACTAGAGCCCAGTACTAGGGAGAAGATCACACCCATGATACCTATCAACACTAACCAGCCGTGCCGCGCAAGCCGGTCAATGGAACTTTATCAACAACCGAAACATTCCAAAAGCCAAGACGACCCCTGAACCCTTGACCGTCCCGTCACCAGCCCACAAGCGGCGAACCCTTCATGATCCAGACGGTACGTGGCGTACATGCAAGGGATGTCAACCGTCCTGCTGTGCACAACGGAAATCCGATTGTTTGGTTCGTGCATTCCACCGCGAAAGCAGAATTTCTTCTCCCGCGTGAAGACACCCGCGCCCAGGTGACGTGAGGATCACCAGATGCCGTCACAGGGCCCTTTCTCCCTTCAAACGTGTGCCCCCCAGGAGATGCAAGGGTCGAAGGGTCCTGGGATGATCAAGCCCTCCTGTCTCGGTGCAATTCGCTCGAGACATGCGCTATCGTGGTTCCTGATTCCATGGGGAAATGACTTCATTCAGGCTTTTTGCCCCTCGCTGTTCCTGAACTCAATCGCACCCGCCCAACCTTGCTACAGGCGATGTAAACTTAGAGAAGAAGGTTACAGAAGGCGGGAATAATTGCAGCCTTGGAACATCAGAATTGCAGGGCCCCGCGAGAAACTGAATTGAGGCCGAAAGGTCGCTGGGTCGCTCACTTACACGCACTGAAGTGTGGGGCGCTGCTTGCTACGCTTCTTAGACCCCGCTTTGGCGTCAACAGTCATCAAACAACACTGGCCCAGATCGTCTAGTTGGTTAGGATGATACGTTGTGGTCTCCATCACTCAGCGATACCGTGTTGACGGCGGTTCGAATCCGCCTCTGGGCAGTAATCTTTTGCTTTTTACTCTATTGGCATTGGATTAAGCCTGTCGATCTATTTTTCATTTTGCCTGCATTGCCTGCGCCTCCTCTAATGACGAGAATGGTGGGTGACAAGACTAATCGAGCGTGTATAAAAGTTGTGTTCTTCAACGTCAACAAATGGCATCTCCTTTCGATTCAAACTGCTGCTAAACGCCTCTCAGTGACGTCTGGGTATCATAATCTAAATACGAACAAACACAGATCGTACATTCCCACTTCCTTTGACTGAAATGACCTCCCCATCCATCTCCAACTCGGGCGCCTCATCCTCTTCGGACGATAAATCAGGCCAATCTCTCCACAACTCACATTTTGCAAGTCTAGTATGAGCTTTCCGCCGGACGAGCCTCACGACCCGGATAGCCTGCTCCAGATCGCCGACTTCGAACAGCAATATCTTTGGCTTCAACCAATCTGCGACATCCAATAACCTCGCATAAAAGACATCGGCGTGATCACAGTCATCGTACACTGGCACCCCGTCCCCCGGCACGAGCGCCAGCTTGGGTTCGTATTTGCGCACCGAATACCCCATCTGGCCCCGCCCATACGTCCACACGCTGCTCGATATATACGGCGGGTTCGAGACTAAGACGTCGCAGGGTGGGATCGTCCGCATCGCGGCGTCGTCAAAGACGTCCTCCCGCCTGAAGGCGATACTCTTCCGGTCTGCGGGTGGCACTAACACGCCCCTGTCGACGTTGCGCTTCAGGTTCTCCCTGGAGAGGTTGACAGCGACGTCCGAGACATCAATACCAATCACGTCCATCGTTCCCTCTGCTTTCGAGAGGGCATCATACAGCCCCAGAGCAATACAACCCGTCCCCGTGCAAAAGTCAACGACTCTCACATCACTGCTCTGGTTCAACGGCAGCTCCCCGCCGCGGATCATCGCGCCGAGGTGCATGACATACGCCTCCGTCTCGGCGCGGGGGACGAGGACCCCCGGCCGACACCGAATGTCCAGCCTGCCAAAGGGCTGCGAGCCGAGGACGTACTGCAGCGGCACCCCGCGTCCTCGTTTCGCGCACAACCTCGCCACGGGACGACGGCCGACAACTTCTTCTCTCTGATGCTGTTGCCCATCCCCAGAAGGCACGCGGGGATTTGAAGTCTCGCGGACGTGCTCCCTGATCCACCGCAGCTCCGTGACAGCCGAGTCAATGTCGCGGCACGCCGGAAGCAAGGTCCTGACGTGCGGGGATATGGCGCCCGCCTGGCGTATGAGTGAGGGCGGGAGACGAGGCATTGGACGGCCGGCGGCGGTGGTGATGGTTTTGGTGGGTTAGACTCTGGCGTGAGTCATGTAGATCATGGTGTTACTTGTGGCTTGTACGTAGTAAGCTGACGTCGGCCTGGATGAATGGGATGAAAAGTCTGTTTGCTTGGGGGAGGACGAAGTGGTGGTGGGAATATCTGGCAATTGTTGCTGAGGTGGGAAGCTTTTAATTTTTCCCCCGCTGGAGGAGCTGTCGCTGTCGCAGCAGCGCATGCTTCATTGGAGCTTGGGCCACCTGAGACACCACACCAACTGACTTACACGCCTGCGTCGGATGAGATGGGAGTCATTCGGATGTCATGATACGTCCAACTCTAAAGTGATGGGTTGTTTCATGTGGCAGTCGTAGGATGAACTTACCGATGATGTGCCTCGGAGGATCTCAAGAGTTCGGACTTGGCGGCATAGTCGCGTTCTCGGCCAGACAAAGGCATCGCCGAGGGGTAGTGCGCTATTGGGCGATGAGCCCACTCACTCATTGTTCTAACGGGAATTTTTGATGATTGAGAACGGCGGTAGTAGTATTGTATTCCAGCGACGAGGAAGCAAGATGGGTAATCGCAATCTAAAAGACGATGGATGGTGTACAGTGTTGTTACAAGGTCTCAGAACCTGATAAGGAAAATCGATGGGATATCATCCCACAACGAACTCCGAAAAAAAACAAGCAGAAAAAGTAGTCAGATACCATGAACCCAAGCCCAGCAAACAAATCATACCTCCGTGACCGTGATATTCATAACGTTGTTCTTGTAGTCCTTGATGAAGCTCTCGTACCTTGGGTAGACCTTCTCGTCGTCGACCTCAAGGTGGTTTGTCTTTTGTTCGTCTTCCTCTTCCTCCTCTTCATCATCTTCTCCTTCACCATCTACCTGTTCCTCGGCTTCTTCGGCTTCATCATCTCCAGGGCCCTCATCACCGCTATGATGTTTTTCCTCGTCGTCGGCTTCTTCGTCACCATTACCGTCAGCATCAGAGTCGACCTCGTCCCAAAAGTTTCCGTCTTCAAAGTAGTAATCGGCCCAGTCACCGTAGATCTCAATCTCCGGCTTCTGCTCCTGAGCTGACTCGACTTCTCTCATTGAACTCTTCGGCCGCGGCTCCGGCAGCCAGGATTGAAACCTAGACACTGGCGCCCCCGTGTTGAGGATTGTCTCCTTGGACGACCGCCAGGAGTATTTCCGGGGCAAGGACTCCGGGCTCATCTGATGGACAATGTGATCCGACGGCGGAGGGGTGGTCGGGTCAGACACAGACCGCAGCCGGGGATCTGTGAACGGAGTTGCGGGACGGTCCTTCACCGGGGTCAAGAGCGGTGGAGAAGACGGGCTAGAGGGGCCGGCTGAGTCGTCGTCGACCATTGTTGGAGACGACACCTCTGCGGATGAGCGAAAGGTTCCCCGTGCAGGGCAGGGCGAGTCAACGTCTCTGGAGGAGAAGAGGGACTCGCTGTCGTCGGACCATCGAGAGGTTTGTGCTCGTGGAGTGTACTGGCCCAGGCGAGATTGACTCCTGGAAAGGGTAGGTGGAGGAGATAGCGGTACCATGCGGACGGTCATCTTCGGTTCTGGCTCGACATCCTCATCCTCTTCGACGTCATGTACATCGGCCTCTTCGCCATCACTCACACTCGGCGAAGGCAAGTGTCCCGACCGCCTTGTTGCTGTTGTGGACTTCGTAGAGCTCCTCCCAACCTCAACCACTTTTGCCGGACCAGACGAATTCGTCCTGGCAAGTCTTGCCTCCTCAAGGTGAACGCTCTCGACCCTCACACTCCGTAGACGCCTGGTCTCCTCCACTTCATCCGGGTATGGCCACATCTTGAGGCCATGCTTGACCCCGCCTCTCTTATGCTCCTCCTGCCTCTGCAATGACATGAGAAACTGCATGCACTGCTCATCATTTGGAATCGCTGTCCTGGAAACAGGCCTCTCTGGCCGGTCCGGTGTATGGATGATCTGGAATGAAGATTCATCCATGCTGTCTTGCCTCCTAGGAGAGCGTGGTGACGTTGAGCTGTCTGGGGATTTTGGAGACTTCGGTGATTTTGGTGACTGCATGAAGCTCTTGATTTTGAGGTTTTTCAGGTACGGCGACAGCTGCGCCGTCCAGTTCGATTTTCTTCCGTGCCTTGCGTGGTCCTTCATGTTGACTGTTTGCGGGATTGTCCAAGATGCGGAAGGCAGCGCCGACGGCGGGGCCGCGTGTTTAAAGTCCATGGCATCAAAGGCCTTCTCGCAGGGCTGCAGGGGAAGAGAGGACCAGGAAAGTGAAAGTTCAGCTGCGTATGCACCGTCGAGGGCAACTTCTTTGTAAAGTCTGGAGAGAAAAAGCCATCATGGTTCCGTCGAGTGCTGCAGACAAAGAATGCATGGCCGAATGGCTTCTCATTTCAGCCAAAGACATCTAGGAATGTGGCGACTCCAACAGAGTTTACCACCCCATTCCTTTGTCCGGATGATGATCCCAGGCCTAACCCGACAATCCAAAAAAATAACGCCAAACTATGAACCGGCCCCCGCGTGTAGTCTGATCTTATCGATGTTATCCCTCGCAGGATGTGAGACAATCTTCCCCACCGTCATTACTATAGCCCAACTGTAACAGTCATATTATTACTCAGGACCAGGAGGACCGGAGGGAGCTCGTGGCACAGTACCTCGACATCCGAGAGGTACTGCACGCTCGCGACCTCATCCTGGCAGGTTCCCTCGGTGGGCACGGGTAGCGTCGAGAGTAACACAGCTGTATCCCTGCTGTTCTGCCGCATAAGCTCGTTGAGGATGACATGCTGTGCTCGGGATGGCAGGTCATTGAACGAAAGCGCGATGCCTTGTGTGGAGTACGGCGAGCCGTCGCCTTCGCCTTCTAGCCTGGAGTCTAACCTGTAGCGCTCCACGAGCTCCGCCATGTTCATATGGGCGTCTCCATGCTCGGAGGATGCGGCGGAATCTTTGCGAGATCTCGGTTCCGCAAACGCAGTAGGAGGATCAAACTCTTCAGCCGTCGTCACCCTCATTTCAGGCACAGGGCGGCTGGAAAACCGGCCCGTGGAGGATTGCCTCGAAAATGCGGGCCTTTCCGCTCGCGGCGTCTCTTCTTCCGTTGTGTCCGCAAACATAATCGTTGGCCCGGATGTACCCTCAACATCCACTCGCGTCTCGGGCACCGGTCGGCTCGAGAATCGCACAGCGGAGGATTGCCTGGACAGTGTTGGTCTGGCCGGGGTCGCCGTACCAGAAACGCTCACCGGCGGCAATTCGGGGTACGGATTGCCGCTTGACACCCGGAATCCACCCAGCGATCGAGCAGTCACGTTGCGATCCAAACCGGGTCGTTCAAGCGGAGTTGGAGGGGCCGACACGTTGTCACCGGCCGTGTGGCTTGGACCTGATTGACCTTCGACCCGAGCTTGTGCAACCATGGTGCCATAGGTCGAGCTCGGTACGGCACTTTTGCTGGACTTGCTGTTACCTCGCCTATGTTTGGATGGAGTGGTGAGGAGGTCATCGCTCTGGCTTCGTCCACGCCCCTTGCCAAGCAGTAAGGGTCTCGTTGGCGTCTCCATATCATCTGCCTCATCTTCACTGTACTCGCTCCCTCCGCGTTCGAACTCAGAGTCAGAGTCCAAGCAAGAGGGCTGCTGTTCCTGCTCGCTGAGCTCGCCGTCCGAGTTGGAATCATCCTCAAAGACCTCATCTCCCAGGTGAGACGTGTGAATTCCAACGCTGACGCCAAGCCGGGAAAGCTTCGCTACCGTAGGTCTTTTCGGTATTTCGCCGAAATGTACCATACTAGGCCGACGCCCACTTTCGATGTCCTCTAGTGGAATATGCGGATTGAACACGCCAGGACGCCCTGCTGTCGACTCGATGATATTCGCGAAAGATGTTAGTTCGTCGGTCGAGTCGAAATTCGGGGCACGTCCTCGCAGCCTCTGCAAATCGTCCCACCATTCCTCATCCCTGAGGACGTCGTGAACTAGAATCTGAGACTCAAGGTCGCTAGATTGGCCATTGATGATGAGTTCGTAGGTGTTCAGCTGACCAGATGCCAGCCAGAATACCTTGACCTCAGCCTCGATTCTCAGCTTCTCCAGGAGAGCCTTGACTCGTGCTCTCTCTTCTTCCACTTCGCTCTCATATTCGACAAATACCATGATGCGCACATCATACACTTTGTTCCAAGTAGGCACGCTGTGAAGGATATAGCCGAGTTGGAGGATCAAGGTGTCTGCGACGTGTTAGCCTATTTACCGGAGATGAGGGCAATTGTCGTACATGTATCAAAGTTGGTGGTCAAAACGCTTTTTCCGTCCGACACAACCTCTGCGGACATTTGAATAGGCCAGAGATCAAGATATCTCTTCGTATTGCCCTTGTCCTTGCGCGGTGTCTCTAGCCTTTCGAAACCCTTTCCGATAGCGACATTGAGCTTATATCTCAAGGCAAGGTCTTCCAGCATTGTCATGTAGCTGTTAACACTCAGCATGGATTCGGTTTTGATCACGTCCGTCGGAAGATGACCCTCTAATAGTCGCGCCGAGGTATCCCCACGTCTCCTTCGTACTGGCCTCTCTGCGGGTCGTGGTCTTGGTCGTGTATCCTCGACGGTCGAGCTCGGTGCTTTCGGCACTGCTACCGACGGACGGGAGCTTCTGAGTTCATCCATGTTGTAAAAACCCATGACTGCAATGTTAGGACGCATGCCTCCTAGCCCGGCTGACAAGATCAAGTTTCGGATGCCCCAATTGAGCGTCGGAGACATGGTCAACTGTACGAACGCCTTGATCCGCGAGAACTCCGAGATGTACTTCGTCCACGCTGCCTGCTGTAGTCTTGCTTCGTGGACGCCACTGCTGAAGTCATCTGTGACAATGACGTGACCAAGGATATACAACCCCCCTTTCTTCAAAGAGTTGCAGAACTGTATGAGCCTGGTTTGACTTCTGGGGTTGTTGATGAGCAGGATAATTTGCGGACGCCAAAATTTGATATGCTCCGGTCGTAGGCGTAGAAGATACTTCCTGACCTGGTGATAAATCAGGTTTTGCGATACGTCTCCCCATCTCTTCGGTGGACTGAGGTAGTGGATCAGCGAGAAGAGGAAAACAAGAAGACATATGGCAGTGGCAGCGTAAGTCTGGTCGATGAAGAACATGGCTGCCGCAGACATTATAGTACCAGCAAACGCTGCCTGCCAGCTGAAGAACTTGAAGGCGGGCCTGAAGTTAGGTGCTGATCCAATGCGGAGCAAGAAGCAAGCTAGATTCATGACGAGAAAGGTCATCTGCTGTGCATTAGCTATGAACCAGTGAGAGGCGGGGTGTAGCACTCACCTGATAACCCATAGAAATAAGAGTCGCAATCTGGTTGAGGTTGGCGAGCATGGAAACCTGAGCAAGACCGTACGTCAAGAGAATCGCGTAGACCGGTTCATCGGCCTTCTTCGTCCCTTGGCTAAACGGTATTAAACCCGGTAACAGCTTATCCCTCGCCAAAGCCTGCATCAGCTTCGCCGCACCTACAAGTCCCATGACAGCGGAGAAGAAGGTGACGGCGCACTCTCCTGCAAGAATCAAGGGCATCGACAGGCTGGTAACGGAGATGATGTTGGTGTTGTTGAGAAACGAGTTATGCGTCGTGGTGGCAGCCATGGAAAAAACTACGACCAAATACGCAATGAACGTAGTCATCATTGCCCAAAGTGTTCCTTTGGGGATATCTTTGCTGGGATTTTGCAGATCTCCAGACATTGAAGCTCCCGCAAAGATCCCGGAAGTCGCTGGGAACAGAATGGCAAAGAGCTCCCGAAACGTCTCGAGGCCATTATAGGAGTCGCTCTTTGTGTGAGGGGCAAAATTGTCCACCAATGTCTCGAGGCTGAACCCAGTGAACCGAACTCCCAGATCGTCATCTCGGAAAGGAGCCTTGAACATGGCAGATATCGGGATGCTTATGATGGCAAGAGACAGAATGACTAGAAGTGCATTGCTGGCCTTGGCAAAAATGCCACTTCCAGCCAGGCCAAGCGCAGCACACAGCAGAAGTGCCAGTGTCTGGAGCAAGTATGTTGCCCAGAAACCTTGGGGGAACAAATCTCCCGCGTTCAATTTGATGCAGTCAATTAGACCAACGACATTGAGGGCGGTGTTGAAGACTTGGGCAAGATAGAACAACACGCCAATGGAACCGCCGAACTCGGGACCAAGAGACCTCGAGATCACGTAGTAGGCACCTCCACCCTTCACCTCGCCATTTGAAGCTATCGCAGAGAGGGACAGTGTTGTCAGAAAGTCCACCAGATAGGCGGTGACCAGCAATCCTACGGATGGTGTTAGTCTGCGCTAATGTAAATGAGGGCGCCCGTGCTGGTGCCGACGAACCAAGCATGCCCAAAAGCCCTACTTGGCCAAGGATCCATCCAAATCTCAGAAACATCAGGATGCTGAAAATGTTGAGACAGACGGGGATGTAGACGCCGGAAACTACGCCCAGCTTGGGGCTCTTGCTGGCTTGCTCCATGCTGGAGAGGCTCGGTCGTCTGTCACCTCCCATGGCTGAGGATACTGGTTGAAAAGGAGAGGTGAGTGCGTTTGGTCGGTGGGATACATAAACCGAAGCTGGGCTCGAAAAGGAGAACGCGAACGCCACCTCCGCACTTTCTCTTTCTCCACGCCCAAACGGGGTTGGGGAGCAAGACGTTTCGATGAATGCGAGATCGATGAAGACGGAGATTCGATCGAAAGTAGTAGCACGCGGCAGGCAGGCGGATGTGGTCTTGTTATAGTTATAAGTCCCCGCCCATAAGTCACGCCAACAACATTGTGCTGCTGCCCAGTGTCCTGTCCTCGCTCAGAGCGTCCACAAAGTGCAGTGTGGTTGAACGATGGCTGGCGACGGTCTGAATATTGCGACCAGTAATAGAATTCCCTAGCAAAGACCGGCGGGCCGCACAGGCATCCAACTGGCCCGGCGCATGTCTCGCGTACTGCTTGTCGTCTCGTTTTCAGGGTTCACCGTTCTAGGTGCAAGGGATATCTGGGTCGATCCAATGCAAGCCTCTCCAATACCCCGCGTGCCGATTGGGAATTGCGATTGTGCTCCAATCCCTCCGGCCTGTCGCGCCCTGCTGTTGGAGATCCACACACACTCCCAAGACGAATGGCATGCAGCCGGTGCAGAACACGCAGAAGATGAGCCCGAAAGTGGGAGACAAACGACGTCATCTGGCAGCGGAGTCCAGATCGGGCCGGAAAAGCATCGCTCTACGGCGGTGAGGTGGTGGGGGAACAGCGTGCTTGCGGCGCTTGAGGGACGAACTGACACCAGAATCGAGATGCGAGGTGTCCGAATTCGCTGTGGCCGTCCAATATCAGGTAAAGTGCTTCAGGGTTGCGAGCTGGGTGATGGTGTGGTGAGGCGTGTTTCCGCCGGTTTGTCCGAAGATGCTGTGCCTCTTTCCGCAGCACCAGCGTTCCGTCAAATAAACCACCGCCCGCCCATGCCATACCATGCCGTCCTGTCGTTCCCGCAAACCGCGCGTCTGCCTCCGTGCCTTGCTAGTCTCCGCGGCCGTCGTTCGTGTTAGCCTCCGTCGTCCGGCATCTGGCTCGACATTCCATCTGATGCTAGCATGACCGCCAGGTTGGTGCTCCAAAATAGCAATGGCGGCCTGTCGGTTGACTCACGCGCATGACAGCGGCAAACCGGAGAATTCAGTGAGATGGACCACTGTCACCACACAAGATGGGCGGCGTGTATCCGTAGTGTAGTGGCTTATCTGCATGGGTAGGTAAGGTAGTGCAGCGTGTGCATGGGGTTTGACCAGCTTTCAGTGTGGCCGTGTGTGCTTCTGCGGTAGTTCCCTGACTCGATGGGGTTTCAATGTCAGAGGTGAAGGGTGCACGGGGTGCCAAAACCCCAAAGTACCGCTACATCCGCCGCACAATTGCAAAGAGCCGCCGAAGCTGGGGATGCTGGGCCGTTGTCGCGGGGCTCGACAGTCTTGTCTTCAAGGTCACGACCATCATTCAGCAGCGCCCGGTCTCAGGGCCAGGAATGAACGAACCCCCACTCTGTTCTTCTTTCTCACTGCAGCACTGGTGCGAGTGAGGCGAAACTTGGGTGGTGCTCGTGCAGCTCAGTCAATGAAGGCGGCGAGCCAATTATGGGTCTCGCTTACTCAGTTGGCCAATTACCTAAGCCAAGGCAAGATAGTCAGTCCCGATAGAGCAGATAAGGTCGCCTGGCAAAGCTGCACCTGATGTTTTTAGCAGCTGAGCAGCCCTGGTTTCCCAGTCCCGTCCTCGGCATGCCCAAGTTCGAGGACTCGAGGCATCAGAGACGCCGGTCCGCCACGAAGCTCACCTTTCCCATGAAAAGATTTCGTAAGGCTTTAACATGAACGGGGCGGAGGATGTCCGTCCGACTTCACACAAAACAAGACACATGTCCTCGACGACTACGGATACCAACCCAGTCAGCAACATGCTGAATCATGGGAGCCAAACCCGTCCGTCGCCTGAGTGATGGATGGAGGCAGGTAAGGTATGTGTGTTGGTGGCTGGTGCTCTCTGTTGCGTTGCAGGTCCCGTCCCAGGCGACAAGATTGACGTACCGATACGACCCGGGTGCCTGCTCAGGTGCGGATAGCACAGGTTCAGTGCCCTCGTCTCGGTGGGAAAAACACCCCGAGAGAGACCTAGCCCCTGGCTTGCCCCCGGGTTTCGGCAAGACAACGCAGCACCTCCCACAGCACAGGGCACTTACATGGGACAGAGCCGCTGACACCGCTATCAAAGGCACCTGGCAAGTTAAGGTACAGCACTGGACCCCCGTATCCGACGCTATCGGCGCGACTGCGAGGCGTGAGCCACAACCTCCAGACCTGCCAGATTAGGTCACCCGACCCGCATGGGAAGCCGCGGGTCCTTATCACGGGTTCCTACCTAGCAGCAACAGCTTCGACCGCACATCCTCCTAGCCGTGCGCTTCAATTGATCTCGTCAGCTGTCTTACAACTGCGCCCAGGTAAACTCCTTCCCGTACTTCAACTGCTCCACCTCCTCGACCTCCTCTAGCTTCTGTACCTGCCTTCCCTCCGTCTCAACTTTGCTCTCCCATGACGCCTTGTTGCTAACTTTGTCTGTGTGTTGACCCAGATCCGAGTCTGCGACGGCCTTGCTTGGGTGCCACCGATATAGCCAATACCAGCATTCGATAACCCCCGAACGGCCTCATCAAACAGCAAAATGGCGTCTCCTTCGAGAGACCCTTTCTCCATCCCAAGGGCCGACTCACCGTCCCGCCAGTACGGCGCTTCTCTTCCTCGAGCAGATGCCACCGCTCGTCTGGCGTCGCCCGTGCCTTCGGCTCAGTATGGCACTCCCCAAACAAATCGCATCCCCGGCCAGGCCAACAGAGGAGGCGAGAACGGTGACACCGGCAGCCTCACCCCGTTGGCTGGAGCTGCCGGTTCGAGCGTCCAAGGTCCTGGCGTCTCAGCTCTCGCTGCAGCGCTTTCCAACTCTCTAGGAACCTCTCCCCCAAGACACGGCACACCACCAGTACGCTCTGGTACTCCTCCTCCCAGACCTCTCTCTCCTGCCGCTGCTGGTGCCCAGCTATCAAGCACTCCCATGACGAACTACGGCTCGTTCGACTCCCGCTCGCGAGGTGCCGCCACTGGCGCCTACGAAGACCCCGAGGTCGTCAAGAGGCACCTGGTTCAACCCTCGGACGCCCCGTCAGAGGAGTCGAGCATGCGAGATGGCGTCAAAGGCAAGCAGACAGCGGATGACAACGAGACTGGACTGAACGAGGACGAATTCTCGAGTTTGCAGCTGCAAGGCGGAGATGTAACGCGAGGCATTTACAAGTGGACCGAAGATGCGGAAGCTCGAGGCAAGGTGCAGCGCAGCAAGAGCTTTAGCGTCTCCAGGCCAGACCCCGAGACGGACATTCTTGACATTAATGCTATCAAGGTTCCGGGTGGTTTCCGCCGCAACTATCTGCGCCGGGCGGCCAGAAGTCCCTCCACGATTCGAGACGGCGGCGAGCGCGGCGAGCCTAGCAATGGCGGTGCTCAGCCTCGTTTACTCACTTCGAGCTTCCTCGAGTTCCTTACTATCTACGGTCACTTTGCTGGCGAGGAGCTTGAGGAAGATGACGAGGCTCTGAAGCCAGGCGAATACTTTTCCTCCGGTGGAGAGGACGATCTCTACGACAGCGACGAAGGCAGCGATGACGATCGGGAACCGATGGAAGACAGTGCGCTTCTGACGCCGTCGCGCCATAAGAGGAGAAGAAGGCAGCGTGGAGGCAGTGGCAAGAATAGCCCGATGAGCGCCGCGCTGCTCTTGCTGAAGTCCTTCGTGGGAACTGGTGTGCTCTTCTTGCCAAGAGCCTACCTGAACGGTGGCATGCACTTCAGCAACCTCGTGTTGCTAGGTGTCGCTGCGCTGAGCTACTACTGTTTCGTTCTGCTGGTTACTACCCGTCTCAAGGTAGAAGGTTCTTTCGGTGACTTGGGAGGCATTCTGTACGGCAAGTGGATGAGGGGTATCATCCTCTTTTCCATTGTCATCAGTCAGATTGGATTTGTGGCCGCATACATGGTTTTCACGTCAGAAAATCTACAAGCCTTCCTCTTGGCAGTCTCTGACTGTAAGACCAACGTCGGCGTCAAGTGGTTGATCCTGCTGCAGGTGCTCGTGTTCCTGCCCTTCTCGCTGCTTCGAGACATCGAAAAGCTGAGTTTCACTGCCTTGATTGCGGACGCATTCATCCTACTTGGCCTGGCCTATCTTCTGTACTACGACATCTTCACCCTGAGCACGAAGGGACTGGCGGACATCATCATGTTCAACCGCAACGACTGGACTTTATTCATCGGCACCGCCATTTTCACATTCGAAGGAATCGGTCTTATCATCCCCATTCAGGAGTCGATGAAGAACCCCAGCAAGTTCCCTCGCGTCATGTTCGCGGTCATGATCATCATTTCTGTTCTCTTCATCGGTATGGGTGCGATTTCCTACGCCGCGTACGGATCCAAGACGGAGACGGTCGTTCTCCTGAACTTGCCCCAGGACAGCAAGCTCGTCAACAGTGTTCAATTCCTGTACTCTGTTGCCATCATGCTGTCCATCCCCCTGCAGCTGTTCCCTGCCATCAAGATCACTGAGAACGCTCTTTTCACCAAGAGCGGCAAGTACAACCCGTACATCAAGTGGCAGAAGAACCTGTACCGTTTCTTCTTTGTCTTCCTGTGCGCTTTCATTGCGTGGGGTGGTGCGGATGACTTGGACAAGTTTGTTGCTCTTGTTGGCAACTTTGCTTGTATCCCGCTTGTTTACATCTACCCAGTAAGTTTTAACCCCAGGTATTGTTGAAGTGACTCCAATCTAACTCTGTACAGCCTTTGCTGCACTACAAGGCAGTTGCTAGAAATAGATGGTGGAAGATTTCCGACATCTGTCTCTGCATCTTCGGTGTCGTGGCCATGGCTTATACTACCGCTATCACCGTTTACAGCTGGGCCAACGGCGATTCCGACCCTGGCAATCCCGGATACTGCGATAGAAGGTAGATCGACCACGAGAGGGTTGTGGAGATCAGGCGGTTAGAAGATGGATATGCTACCGCATTTTGTTATCATGAACTGCTGTCTCAAAAGCGTTGGGTAGTCATTGCATGGTTTCCAGCGGGTTCGTTTAGGAGAGCTTAGGCAGCATTTGGTTGGTTGGTATTGAGTATGGGCTCCGTAAATAGACTGTTCCGAGATCAGAGGGCTCGTCGCCATGTTCATAGTTATGTATCTGTACGCCTTAGCAGAATTAAGAATCGAGTAAACGTTTTCTATTGTCTGAAATTTAGGTGCTTCGTTAGACTCTTCACATTGGAAGGTTCATGTTTGGTTGTTCATCCGAGCTGGCGCACCGCCACATATTTGCCTGTGGCGCAGTCATTATCAGCGGTCCACTTTTTGCTTCTGGGAGGCAGTCGCTCAAGACGGCAGCAGCCGCGGCCAACCGTAGGTGATCACTTCCTTCCAGCAGCATCTCATCCATCCAGGTCGATTTCGAAGAACGTCATCCTTGTGAACAAGTCGAGTAAGATTCGAATATTCCCACATCACGAATCAGAATCTGACTCAATCCACAGGCTCGTTTAGGTCCTCCAACTTCGAGTTTTTCTGACCGCCACACGCCTCGGCTCGAGTCTTGTCTGCCCAAATCCAGCACTACCGTCTTTGAAATTAGCATCTCGCCAAGATGAACGCCCCCGATCGGTGAGTGATGAGTTCGACGTCTTTCTATATCGTTTTGGTGTTGTTATAGGCTTTTGAATGTTGAATCGAGGTCCGAGGGCTGCTGGACTATCACATTGCGATGTCTTCATGAGCTTACTGTGCTCATCCTCGATGGCTTTCCCGCGTTCTCTGATGTGGCTGATGCAACGCTCTTTTCACCTTGTTCTTTTCCGACGCACATGCCTACAAGCATCCGCCCCGGTTCCACGGCCACCATCTCCAGGCTAGGCCACCATCTTGTCATTGAGCTCGAATGATACTGAGCTGGCCATCAATCCGCCCCTTCATCTCACTATGTCTCTCATTTTATATGTGATAGAGGATACGAAAAGCTAACAATGCGACAGTTTCGAGCTCTTCCTCCTTGCCGATGGCGAGAAGAAGATCGAGGAAAAGGTCTTCTCCGGTATGCGGCTATTCACTGCTTCCTTTGCTTCACTCGGGCTCACAATCCTCAGGAATGTCCAACACCTCCGACTTCATCCTGAAGAAGGAAGACCACACTCTCGGAAACCTCCTCTCTGAGCACCTCAAGCAGCACAAGAACGTCCTCATGGCCGGCTACAAGAGTAAGCCTCTACTCCTGCTACCGCCGTCTTGGGAGCACCCATGCTAATCTTGCCGCCAGTCTCTCATCCTAACGTGCCCGAGCTCTTTATCCGCGTCCAAACAGACGGCTCGATCCCCCCCAAGGAGGCGCTAGTCCAAGTCATCAAACGTCTCATGCAGGACTTTTCACACCTCAGTCGCGAATTCACACGAGAGTTCGAGCTGCGTCGTATGGTCGAGGCTGGAAGGTCTGCAGCGCAGGGGCAGTAAGGCAACTTTTGTGTGAAAATAGCATTACATCTTCTCTGGGCGTTCTCGGGCGGACTTGGTCAAAAAGAATGGAAATCGGGGGTTCTGATACCACACGTGTGCTGGTTTTAGTTTTCGCCAAGACAGGCTCTCGATACGAGAAAAAGTTTGGTCATTGCGAATTACGTCGTTAACTACGCGAGGTCCCCTCTCGTGAAGTTCGTTTTTGTGTATGCCTACAGTGTCACTCCTTCAGTTTTGACACGCAGCCCTTCAATCCTCAAGTCAACCAGGTCATGACTTTCCCTGCTCAGTTTCTGCGGCTGGTAGATCCGACACAGATTTTTGCCCAACCGTGACCATAGTTGCAGTCTTCCTGCACTTTTTCAAGAGCCGGGGGCTCGTATTCGTACTAATCCATCCGTCGCTTTGCCTTTACGCGTTCACGGGACCCTCTCCACCAGGAATGAGCTGTGAACAGAGTCAGAAATGGCACACGTGCTAGAATAAGCAGATCAGAGCATACCATGCAGATGTTGTTGCCGTTCAGGAGAATCTTGGGTAGCTTAGTGTGGTTTCCGGAATAGTCGCTGGCATGGGGTTAGCATGGTCCACCGCTCTTTTTATTGAAATGGTTTACGGACAACTCAGTGACATCTTCCAGAACCATGTCTAAAGACTCGTTAGTATCGCAGGTCAAAGTAGAGTCGGATGACAGTATTTACTTACTGACGTAGTCATCGAAACCGAGCAGGGTACCACTGAATTCTGTCATGTTCGTGAGCATCTTGTGAGGTGAGGGGCGTCAGAGACTCCGTACCCTTGTCTCCCTTCATAACCACCCAGATTCTTGATCCGACACACTTGTCGATGAGTTCTGCCCGCATCAGCTTCCGGCTGTCGTAGTTTTGGACCCGTCGAACCCACCAAGAGGGAGGAGTTGAGACGCCATTTTTACGCCCTGTGATTACCCGTGGTAATGACCTCGTGATGGTATAGCTCGTTCAATAAGTTGCCAAGGTTTGGCAGGGATTATGGCCGTGTGATGGGTTGATATTCGTCTAGATATTGGGGTTCTTGTCAACCGCCGGATCGTCGAAGCTTGAGATGATCGTGGTGACCCGGAGGCGTGTGCTGCAAAGCTTGGGCGTGAGCCTATCCGCATCATGTGACTTTGTGTTTGACCGCGAGTGTGACTAAGCCGGGCCACGCGAGAAGCTCCAGCGGCCATTCAGCGTCGGGCGTGAATCAGAAGTTAATTGAACCCCTCCATCACCCACCACAACGCGTCTGCCTGCGGACCCGGATTCCTGATTAGCCGCGCCATGCCCGTTGGCAACCATGGCGCATCACCGTTGTTCCGGATGCGTTGTCCGGCAGGATTGAGAAGTATATGTAGACCATCTGGCCATAGGTTTCATTCTTTTCAAACGTCTCTCCGGTCGCGGAATGGTCCTGTCGCGTATGTCAACCCCACAGCACCATGCAAGACCGGCACACTGACACTAGCTACAGCCGCCCAAACTCGACCATGTACCCTTCGTCGTACGGCCGGCTTTGGCACCCTGGTCATGGCATCAACTTCACGCCAGCAAGACCGGAAGAAGAAGCGCATCCGCGAGTCGACATGCTTCGCTCCTTGCACACGACCTCCGCAAACTCTTCGCAAAGCGCCGCGGCGGAAAGCAATGAGAGCGAGTACATTCTCTCCGAAGACAGTAGCGAGTCAATAACATCCGGCGACGATGATGTACCATTCTCAACGGCGCCCGAGTTCCAGCCAGAGTCTGATGCGGCTTCCACTACACTATCTGACGGCACCGATGATCCCGAAGGCCGCATTCTGACAGATTTGAAGTTTCAAATACCCGAAGATGCATTCCTCGAGGCTCAGAAAGCACCCGAAGGCTCGCCGGAGTCGTTCTACACTTACACGCTCTACCGGGGACCCTCCGACGAGGAGGGGGAGAAGAAGGTTAAGGTGCACTACTGCAAGAGCAAGCACACGATGGAGCGAGTTTGCCAGTACTTCTTGGAGGACAAGGTTCTTGGCTTCGACCTTGAGTGGTATCCGAGGGCAACCAGGAAATCAGGCCCGAGGCAGAATGTGTCTTTGATCCAGCTTGCCAACGAAAGTCGGATCGCCTTGTTTCACGTTGCATTGTTTCCAGCCCAGGACGACCTCGTATCGCCAACCTTTATCAAGATCATGGGAGACCCTAGTGTAGCGAAGACAGGCGTGGCTATCAAAGGAGATTGTACTCGGCTAAACACGCATCTGGGAGTTCCTACCAGGGGTATTTTCGAGCTCAGCCACCTCCACAAGCTCGTGAAGTACTCCAAAGAGGGCCAGTACGACCTTATCAACAAGAGGCTGGTGCCGCTTGCCGTGCAGGTCAAAGAACATCTCGGCCTGCCAATGTTCAAGGGGCAAGACGTCCGTTCGAGCGACTGGTCCAGGATCCTGAAGCCGGAGCAACTCATTTGTAAGCCCCTACTCTGCGAGTCGTAAAGTTAACTTTCTCACGTTCACTAGATTCGGCCACAGATGCGTATGCTGGCTTCCAGCTCTACCATGAACTGGAAAGGAAAAGGGTCAGCCTTGATCCGACGCCCCCGAGGCCACACTTCGCCGAGCTTGTTCTGCCCATCCGACTCGCAGATGGAGCAGCCGTCGCAGCCGACGATATTGACGGTGCCGAGAAGAAGACGGACGGGAGCGTGTTCTTCCTGACTGAAGTCGAAGGCGAATCCATCGCAGAGAGCATCCAGAAGGCACCTGCAGTCACTCCCAAGCGGACACAGCAGAAGGACCCTCGAGTCGCCGCTGCCGAGGAGCGTATGGCAAGCTATAAGGCTTCGGCAGGACCGTTCCGCGCCACCGGGCCCGCGGTGCGATCGTATTTCATCTGGAGGGACAATGAGGACCTGGATCCAGAGGCCATCGCCAAGCTTCTCCGCGAACCACCGCTCCAAACGATGACGGTGGTGACTTACATCTTGGAAGCCATCAAGCTGCAGACGTTGCCGTTCGACAAGAAGCGGCTGCGGGAGGAGTGCTTGTCCAGGCTGTCCACCGACTCTGGGAGGGGCAGATACAAGTCCTTGGTGCAGGAGGCGAGCGAACCTGATGCGTAGAAAGCATCATTGACCGGACGCTGGGCCCAGGCTTGCGTCGGTGTAAATATATTCGTGCCCTGGAGCCGGGTGAAGATATGACGACGCTCATGAGCATTGGATGGAGACCAATAGAGATACCCACATCAGTAAAAGAATGCATTTTGCGTACAAGTTTCAAGCTATGGATGTCTGTACAGGACCAAGACGGTGACACGTTATAAACCGACCAATCGCGTCCAAGGACCGGCATGATGCGTGCCTCTCTGACCAGATAAAGGCAGTGAAGTAGTTTGCCATGCAACGGCGAAAGAAAGAACTAAGGTGACTTGGTCATGCCAAACAGCCAATGTTGGGACATCATTTTGAATTGGAAGAAGCAGTGGTGACAGCAAAAACGTGACGGCCCCTCGGCGAGGGTTTGAATGACAGTGTCGAGCCAATCCAGTCGCCTTGGATGATATATAAAAACCACAACGAATGCATAGTGGTTGAATTACAGATGACGGCGATGATGGCGGATGATGTTTATGTCGGGTTGGCAATCTCAACAGCTCACGGCTGATCGCCGGAGAGGCAAGAGCAGAACGACTGCTTGGACTGGAGATCTCGGGCTACGAGAGCTTCATCGTCGATATCGCTCCTTGAGAGAGTATTCCACAGATTTGTAACAGAACGACACCGTTACCAAATGTGCCTACCTAGTCTGAGTTTGTACCGTGGTTTCTCGCTCTTTGAGAGCATTGTATCATCGCAACGAGAACACTCACTGCTGACGACTTGCTGTGACCCTTGTGCACACAGAATTACATTGTGTGTTGGTGAGTTTTCTCGCATAACGGTCATTTCATAAATATACATATAGTCTCTGGTTTTTCATCCGACTTTCCACCCAGAGAGCGCTTGCTGGCCAGCCTGGTCTGGACGGATACCAGAGGCCTTGTCTGATGGGCTGGCTTCCCAGCTTTTCAGGTGGCGTAAATGAAGATATTTTCAGGTTGCAGAATGTAATTTGAATGATGATGCAGAAAACTGGAAACTGGTTGTGGTGCCAAAAAAAAAAAATTAAAAAAAAATGCGTCGCTCTGCAACACGTTGAGACTAATGGCTACGATACCATGGCATGCGCGATCATAATCATGATAGGTTCATCGTGGAATACTGAGGTAGCCTAACTGGGACGAAAATTCTCTCCATACTCTGTCCTTGTCGTCCTTTAAATTGGTATGGGAGGTATTCTTTGATGCCTACACTACTTCCGCATGCGTCTGTACACTCGTCGTCCCCATCACTCCAGACTCACTTGCGCTACTTTGGTTCCTGCCACCAGCAATGCTATCTTATTTCGTTGTAAATTATGCACCCACTGGAAAGCGATTTCGGTCCGAAGATGACGCCATGAGTTGTGGTTATGACGCTCTTGAGACCCTATTTAGATCTTACGCTGACACTTCATGAGAGAAAGGGGCAATGGAGTCGAGGCAAGATCTTGTCAAATAGCAGCGGAAGAAAGATCGGTGCCCTGAAGATCTCCAAGGCTACTCACTGGGATGGTAATCCGTTCTCGCAGATGTTCCTGTGAATCCTCGTTGTCTCTGGGGCTCGGCTTTGCTATTGGGGTATTGCAACGTGAATAGTGAATCACTCATCCAAAGTATAGTGGGATCATGTTTGCAGAAATATACAGATCCAAGCTATCAGCATCACCAGCGTGGATATTCCACACACAAATAAGTACCGAAGTTCAAAGCGACGATGCTTCTGAAGGGACGACTGATTTATTGAAAGTACATCCCTTGAGTAGTTAACGGCCATGATACGTACGCATTGCAATCACATAAACATAGCCTTCGTGGGTGGTCGAATCGAACCCGTTACTCAGAACTCCGACTCATCAGCGTTAGGTGACTTCTCACGACGAAGGGGTTTGAGGAGTAGTACTCTGAGAGAGCACTCAGGTAAACGATCCATGATTTAGGATATTTAAAAGCAAGAACAAATCGCTCGAAGATATGCCGACAAGGCAAACAATTAGAAGATGTGAAGATACCTGTTTGGGTATCTTCAAAGCAGGCTGACAACGTGCTAGGTGGTATTTCTTCGGCTCTGTAAGAATCCAATATTCAATGTGGACCAGCCATGATGGCGCTTCTACATTCGTCCGTCACCTCTGTCAAGCCCCGAAGTATTCAACCAGGGGTTCGCGTAAACCCGGCATCTCATCAGCGCATGGATATGTAAAACAGCTTACGGTCAACATGAGTTTAGCAAATCGCTTTTGGGGGGGAAACTTCGGGACATCAAATCTCTGTTTGTCCTTCAGAACGGGATCAGGTCTGAAAATACACCCAATCCTTATATACGGGGCCTTCTCACAGAGTTCCAGCTTCCTGAGGTAAGGTCGAAGCCGAAGCAACGTCAGTCGCGATGAACGGCACAATCTAAGAGTCTGTTTGCCCCAAAGCTACAATAAGCTTGTCGTCAGACTTGGTCTCTCTAGAAACGGTAGCATCGTGTCCATTGGTCCTCTCGGACTGTGATTATGAGCAACCATTCTGGAGGCTTAGCCGCTCGAGAATTGAAGGTCAGCACTGCTCGTGGCTCGCGAGTAGGAGACTTTGTGTTCCCCAAGGGGAACTGGCCACCTTAAACGCGACCGCCCTGTTGCGTTGGCAACTCATGACAGCTAATCATTTCATCAACACCTCCCAAACGCGGGGTAATCGGTCCCGTAGAGAAGCCTCTCGGGAGATTTTGACCGTCACAATCAATGCTCTCATTATGACAGGCATGTGGCTGAGCTGCGAGCCTTTGGCCTGATTACATCACTTGTGT